CCCCAAAACCCCAAAACCCCAAAACCCCGCAATAAAAATTTATTATGATTCGGGTTAATCAGAAATAGATAAATTGCCAAATATAGTACATATGATGCTAATTAAGAATTAATGTCAATCTATCCTCAGAGTGTAGTTGTTTTTTTAATAGTTCTTACAAATGCAATTGATCCCAATAAAATCACACATCACCTCATCATTAGGCAGTTTTGATATCAGACTATTTGATTAATATTCTCCTGATGCCCAGTATTTCAAGAAGTTATGGAATTACAAATGCGTAATCAATTTCTATTAGTTTTCTTCAAATTTCGACTTGTGATATGAGTTCAATCCTTTAAGGTTAGCAGTCATTATAAATGGATTAAAAATTTCATTAATAATTTGAACTCCTCCAAACTTCTTCTTGATACCACCTAAATGTGGTCCATGATCGCTAAACATAATTACTGTTGTATTATCTTAATGCATCTCATTTAAAAACTTAGCTAGAGGCTTATCCAAATAATTGATAACCTCACCAGTGCCTTCATGCATATCCATTAACACAACTATCATTATCTTTTTGTCCTAGTTATATGCTTTGAAGAACTGCTTTGCATAATCAAATGTAAACTCAAACGAGTCTTTTCCGTATAAGCAGCGTCTGAATATAGAAAAGTGGCCCTAAAACTGTTCAGTGCCTCTGATGTAATCAAATAGATGTGGATCACAAGTCATTGCCACATTTTCATGATCAGCAGGGGTGTTTCTAACATAGTCTGCAAAGAAATTATTCTATAGGAAGATATTAGTCTCGCAAATATTAGAAGTATAGCCAGTGATAAAACCTTGCTCTTTGAAGTACCCAATGATTGACTCAAATTTGTCCTCGTAGCTAAATGGGGGTGGATAATTCTCTTCATAAGAATTCGTAGTGCGAGTTCCACTGATATCATTCCTTGACTTTCCATATAAGAACATGAATCCATTCTCCATGGTTCTGTCCTCTAGTGCATGCAATCTAAAGAATTCATGATGATCTTGATTTTTAAAGTATTTCATAGTCTCTGGTAACTTAAAGTGAGCTCTCTATCTAGAGATAGTATCAGTAAAAACCAAAAGGAGATTTTAGTTAAGGTTGTTTCTATCTTTTTACAGCAATTTCCTCTCTTAAACTAACTTTTCATCTCTTTTAACTTTATTTACTATTGTTTCTCTCTTTGTATCTATTATTGATTCGTAACCTGAATCATAAGCTTCTTATAAACTATCAAATCCCTTTGATCTTTCAAGAACTCTATCAGGCAGACTCCACAACTTTCTATCGTTTGTATCAAAATTTTTAGTCAGTGGAAAGGCAATATAACTTTTATTGGTGTGGTAGTACTTTTGAAACAATGAATGATCAGTTAATTAGTACTCACACTAAACTGCTTTTAGATAAGCTGAAAAATCCTGCCATCTATCTATGATTTCTACTAGACATGTTTTAGGTATTTCTATCTCACAGTACTAGTCTGACTGTTCTAAATCACTAGATAGTCCTTTAGTCCAGTTCTTACAGCTATCCAATACTTTATGATCCCATTAATACCTTCCATAGATAACTATTATCATCAATAACAGGAGCTTTAGCCTTATACTGAAAAACTCTCGATATCTCTTATACACGTACTTTACTGCTTGCTTTTTAAAGAATATTGTGATTGATATGAAGAGGACAAATGTATATAAACCCCCAAATTTCTTCCTAGTTACATCTTTAAATATCAAAATGAGGAACAGTATGTTTAAGCAGACACAGATAAAAACTATTCTTTGATTATAATGCAGTAAAGGCAAGCATTTCCTGAGTTCATTAATAAATAGAGCAATGACAATGATTAATAGTAAAGCGTTTATAGGTGCTGAAGGAATTACATACTCGTACATACACTCATTTAAACTCTCTGAGGGACAATATTGGAACTAAATGTAGAAAAATAAGATATTCGCAATTATCATTCTCAGAAAAATCATAAATTGCTATGATTTTGTGAATTTCCAGAGCTTGTTTACCTGAAGATCTCTCGAAACTTCATCATACTACTTTTAATCCATTTTGTAATTTAAATTATTAAATTAATATTTAAAATCATTTAAATAAATAGTATGAGATAAACTTGGTCTACTATAAATATTTAAGTCATTAATCATTGATATCTCAATAATAGCTTTTTTGGAGAAAAATTTATTCTCACGGGGTTTTGGGGTTTTGGGGTTTTGGGG